ACGAGGTCCGAGGGTAACGGTTCGGCCGCCTATCGGTTATCAGTTCCCCGTGCAATTGGGTCAGCATCGTGCGTTCTGTGCCACGTCTTCGTTCCGCCGCGACGTCGCCTCAAGAGAAAGAGAGGCACAGCGGGAAAGCCGACCGAAAGATTGAAGGAGCGAAACCTTTTACCTCGCAGTTCACTAAATTTTTCAGCAGGAAACGCAGCCACTGATGGCCCCGGCCAATGCATGACACCGCGCGTTCCTCCTTTCCCGCTTGTAGTTTATTCAAAATCCGAGAAAGTACTAAAAGAAGCTTATCCCGGCGCCCCCCTCCCCTCCCGTCTACGAACTTCGCTCGCCTGTATCATTCGCAATTTCCATTGAAAACTTTCGAGCATTCTGTTCCACACTTGCCGGTGAACCGACGTACATAATGACGGACCTAGAAACTTCAACGCGGTTTTACGGTGTTCCGTCGCGGTAACGATGCCAGCCGGCATTCAGCGAGCGCGAGGCGACGCGCATTCGACGGGGAGCCCGGCTCCGCGTGGAAACAGAAAAGAAACAGAAACGAAAGAAAAGAAGAGAAAGGAAAAGGGACACTTCTGCGACGGTGTGTGGCGACGCGTCTCGTTTCTGTTCGCGGCCGTTCGAGCCTCTAATTACGCGTGTATCGCTCATCGAGCTTCCGCGTGAAAAGCTGCCCTCGTTAGCGGGAGACACCGAGCCGACACCCGACGCCGTTTCCCGGCGGCAGCGGAGTGGCACGCGTCTCTCCCTCGTTCGGCGGACGCATCAGCTGTCACTGAACGCGACTTTTCACCGTCTACGCGATATAAAAGGCGGCCATATTGACCCCGAATCCGTGGGTTATCGAATCGTGCCTTCACCGACAGATAGGCATCGAAATGCCGACCGCGCACTGACACACAGTGCGCCGGCGACGCTCGCGTGACACCGAGTACGTACTCGTATGCACCCGGTTTTCACCTACGACGACTACGGCCTTGAACAATTTACCGTTCGAGAACTCGGGCTCTCGCGTTCCGTGCTTCGTGATTCCCGCGTCCGGCTGGATGCACACCGTGCAACTTTACGGGAGGTCCTCGCCAGCTGGTGACGAAGACATGCGGGCACGCCGGACGATCTCGGGACCGGGGTACGATGGAATTGAACAGCATTCTTCTTTCAGGTATATTTAACTATTCCCCCCGTCCGCCTTATCGGGAAAATCGCAAATTGTCTAAACGCTCGGAATGTTGTTACGTTTCTAAGGAAATCCATTCTCGTCGGATCGACGATTGAATTGCCTCCGTAATTGGTGTACCTTAGCGACTCGTTTGAAGACGAGCTGTGCTGTTGCGTCTTTTCAACTGTATAACCAGAAAGTAGTCGAAGATATTTGCATCGAAATGGTAGGCCGAATTTGTTTAGATCCTTTGTAATTTATAACGATTCCGATAGATATTTATATTTCTTCGACATCTTTAACTCTACGGAAATTTATAACGACCGTATACTCGCGTTTCACCGGAAGGTTCAATCACCGAACAAGTGATCGAATACATTCAGACGATATTTTCACCGTGAAGTTTTGAAGTGCACGAAGTAAAGACGGCAGCAACGAATAGGAATGACACGGTACAAGACGCGAAGGGTTAAGCCGCCGTCGTCTCGCTTCAGTTGACGATTTTATGGGAGTAGATGTCCGTAGGCAATGCCGAGGGCAGAGACCGTGAACTACGGTGAAGCGTACTCGACAAGATCCTCGCGCGCGGTACGGTTAACAATTAATTGTTATGGATTCAGATGTATGTCTTCCCGAAACTCGTTTCAACGTATGACGATCTAAGTGCCCCGCGGCACGATCTACTTCGAGCCCCGAGCGAATTCGTGTCAGTGGCCGTGTGCTGTAAATTTGCTCGAGCCGCGACCGTTCTCGTAAAATTCTAGAAAGTACCGACGCGGATCCCGCGGCAACTTCCGGCCTATCCGGTGAACTGATCTTCACCGTTTTCTGGTGGTCCGCGTCGAGAGACGGCGGCGACGGTGAGGTAGGTCGGCACGGTTTCCCGTTCGATGCCGCCTTTCTATTCGAACGACTCGTCAGGGAACAAGGAAGCATAACGCGGTAGCTGCCACGACGCCAGACGTAACCGCATTAGCGAGAAATCTAGAAAAATGCGCGCTCGCGAGAGCGAGCCGGCGATCGCGCTCGCGCGCACCTTCCTCGGAGACGTGAATGCGTTTCAGTTATGCCCGCACGCCGGTGTACGAGCGCGCGGACTTCCAGCATTCACAATGGAGCACATCAAACCGTTCCCACCAATTAAAAAGTTTCAGATCGAAGTTCAAACGGTTTCTGAAAGTTTCTTTTCACGTGTTTGATCGCAGGAGAATGCCCGTGACGCGGGGTTACCTTTGACCCGTGTATTCACCGGCGCATAGTTCGAAAAGTCTGCCAAGTCATTACGTGCAAAAAGTTCTATATTTGCGGCTGAAGGGAAAACAATGAGTAAGGGAAAGTAGCTAATCTCGCAGGATAGAATTATTTACAGGAATTTTTAACGACTCGTGAACGAAGACGTTCCTTGATATTCAAATTTGCGGACAACTAGAACGATACAGAACAATTCTAACGACATTTTTTAATGAAACTGGCAACGCAATGAAAGAATTTACATTTTCAACCCCTTATAAGGGTTTCCCGAAGGAATTTCTAATTCTAATTCCTAGAGGAGACTTTTGAAGCAATTCCTCCGATTATAGGATATTTAACATTCCTCGAATTACAATCTCCGGCAAAAGTAACGCAGCATTCAATAAAGAAGACAATCCATTGTAGAAATATTCCCCGTGGCTAGAAGCGGTGCGCGCGAGCGCACGGTTTGAAGGTTAGGAGGCCTCCTGGCGTCGCATCGCCGCCTAATAGAATGACTGGTCGTCTGACCACCATAACCTCGCCGACCCATCGACCCCCGCTATACGTTCCTGGGATAAACGCGGAAGGAAAGGTGGAGGGGCGGGAGAAGGTGGAACAGAGAGACGGCCGAAGGGAGAAAGCGAGAGAGAATAAGTGGTGGTCGAGGAGGAAGGGGGCGGGGAAAGGTGCAGTAGGAGGAAGAGGGTGGGCAGGGTCGAGGGTGAACCCCTTATTGATTTTTAGGGTGACACTGTCAACCGGCGAGTGTTGAGTCCCCCGCGACGGGAGGGACTTTGAAACCGACGTGGAGCGAGAAAAAAAATGTGGCGTCGGTCGCGCCATTGCGCCGCACGAAAAACATCCCCTTGCAGCGGAGCGGTCGTCTATCCGGGATAACCGGACGATCGACTGTGATAGCCGTGCACGGCAGGGCCGATACACGGTCCGCGGCTCGGCCACGAAGCGATTTTTTCGTCGTGTAAAAGTGGCGAGTGCGGCGTCGGACAGCGGCGGCGTCAGCGGCGTCGGCGGTGACAGAAAAGAGTAACTGTGGCGAGGCGCAGTCCC